TGTTTAGTTTCCCATGACGAGAGTATAAAAAGTATTTTTTTCAGTTTTAATAATATTTTACTGTTTACATAGTTTTTACAAATTTGCTTGTCCACCAAAAGCCAAAATTGAACAATTCCCTTTCCCGCGAAAACGCCACTATGACGTCACGACACTCTGAAGGTTATATCGTTCTATGCATGCATAAGGTTGAATTCTCGACGTTCTGGGGAGCGATTCTATAAAAATTCCAAACCCGAATTCTAAATCACTCATGTGTAAAATTTCATTCATGTGTAAATTTTATTGGTACCAATTTTGTATAAAAATACAACGGAAACAACGGCTAAACGTTACTTCCGAAACACGGAGTAACTTGAGATAATTTTTTTTTTGTCACACATCCCGTGGTCGACCCTTGCGAAAGTTGCTAAACAACAACGATTGCGGACTGAAATGCAGCCGTTAGATTAGTGAACAGTTTCCATATTTTTTCAACATTAATGTGTAATATAAAACCAAAGAACTGTCCCTCATTGGCAATGAGATAGATAGAAAATACGACGAAAAACATTATTGATAAATTATTAAGGTTATTTTAAAAGCGTTGCATAATCATTTCGAATATAAAGTGATAATGTATGAAAAAAACGGTGAATATTAGGGGTAACTTTGCAATGACGTATAAAAAGGTTTTTCGTTTTTTCTTCTATGAAGCATATTTTAGAAATTCACATTTTGGACATGATATGTCATAATATTAATGATTTTATTTTTCATTTTTGATTACAGCTAATTATTTTTTTTTAATCAATAAAAAGTAAATAGTTTTTGGTTTATGTACGCGCCCTTTTGCTACGAAGGTAGGTAATGAATAATTTCTGTATAAAATGTAATCTTTATTTTTCTTAGTTCGCTATAAATTATTATTTGATTGCAACTATGGTTATTATAATAAATCTATACTACTCTTTAAATTAAGATATTTCGCTTCAAATACACTTTAGCAAAATAACAGAATATTTCAAAAGAAATATAAATACACTTCACGGTCTGTCACGAAGTGACGACGACATTAGGATTTCTAATCAATGATCTTACATGTCGTATGAGATATGATACCGAATAGATTGAATTACATCTCTCCGTTTACAACGCGACCTTCAGCTTAGCAATAACGATGTGAGAAAATGAAACCTGAAAAGTTCGAAATCAAATTAAAACCATTTTTAGAGGGTTGAACTTCCCATTTTATTTGTTTATAAATCAAACTTTATAACATCCGACAACAACGTGTATTGTTTGTTACAAATACGTTATCTTCGGATGTTATACATACTCCTACTCTGTCAAGAAAGTACCGAGAAAAGATCAATATTACACCAACTATTTGTTATTCATCCAAATTTATTTTATCACCTTCAAAGTATGCTCCTCCAGAAACGATACATTTACGCCAACTAATAATCCAATCATCAAAACATTTTATAAACGTTATTTATGGAATTGAGTTCTGTTCTCGCCGCGAATTCTCCATTTTGTCTTCTAACGATTGAAAACGAGTGCCACGAGGTGGTAATTTGAGTTTAGGAAAAAGAAAGAAATCGGCTGGAGCCATATCTGGTGAATATGGTTGTTGCTCGATGGTATTTGTTGAGTCTTTGCTCAAAAATTCGTTCACAATCATGGCATTGTGCGAAGGCACATTATCTTGATACAAATACAAGAACTTTCTTACCACAAATAGTGGCCTTTTATCGTATTTGCACTCTTAAATGCATAAAGCTCTAATAATATCTTATTTACCGTTTGACCTTCCGGCAAGAATTCCGAGTATACAACTCCGCGATAGTCAAAGAAAACAGTCAACATGACTTTGACTTTTGAACGACTGTGGCGTGGTTTTTTCAGTTTCTTTTCAATTGAATGGCGCCACTCCGAAATTTGTTGACAAGTTTGCATGTCAAACTCGTAAATCTACGTCTCGTCACCAGTAACAATGCGTTTCATGAATGTAAGGTCGGAATTGTCTCGTTCTAGCATGTCCTCAGCGTTAATATGGTGCGGATCGAATCGTGAAACCAGAGAAAGTTCGGCAACTATCTCTTACAAAGTTGAATGAGGATTTTCAGTCACTTTTGCGATGTTAACTTCAGCTGCAGACATTGATGGCCTACCAGAGCGAGGCAAATCTTCCATTTCAGCTTTTGAACGCTTTGCACCAATCATAAGCATAAGTTTTTGATAAATTCGATTCACCATAAGCTTTCTGTAACATTTTCAGCGACTCTGAACACGAAATTCCATTGGCAATGCAAAATTTAGGGCAAATTCTTTGTTCGATGTTTTTGTCCATTATAAAATTCGCAATACACACTAAAAACAGCACTGCATTTAATATAAATAACAGATGCAACTAAAACTCCGCACTAAAATGGAAAACAGTTGTGCCAATCAGTTAACTTGTTTTCTCTCTGTTCTATCCTATATAGATATTATAACAATTATGATGTCAACTTCTGTTGTCTTCGTTATTTACAGAATCGAAACAACATTTTCACAAAGTTAAAACTAAGTTCAGTCATGTTTGTGTTTATCATCTATTTATTTAACGATTTTACTTAGCTTGACTTGGTGGGCTGATATTATTAATTGAAAAGCTCTCATCTACCTCATAATTGATTGGTCCGCAGTTTAGCCTAGGAGGTGTTAATACATCTGTGACTAATAAATTATTCATTGTGGTCAATTATTTCTAACCACAGCTCCTGACATTATGCGAAAATAGACAGCGATGTTTAATTTTTTTATTTTTGTGGTAACAATAGGTGTGTATTGTTTATGAAAACAATGCACGAACCAACTGTTCACATGTTAGCGTTAGGTTTGCTGTTCAAATCATTAAAAACCACAAAAAAGAAATAATATCTTCAGTTATCATACTGGAATGTCAATGAGAGTGTGTACATATTACGATAACTGTAATTAATTTGAACATCTATTGTTTTTAGTTTTTTGATGAAATTCGAAAACTCAGTCACAATGCTTTTGGCAAATATAATAAAATTCAAGTATACCTTCCGCGTCTCTTGAGTACAAATTTAATTTTTTATGTGCTCTTATGCTATGGCCCTAGTGTAAAGATTTCGTTTCTATTACTTCACAAGGACAGCAAATAATTTAATGTATATCTGTTGCTACGCAAATACGCTCGCTTCGCTCGCACAGTTCTCGACTTGTAATCACAGCTTTACTTAATCTTTCGTTGTTTTATTACTATTCGTTTTATATAAAAAACACAGTCAATTAAAAACCGATAATAGGGACGACTGATAAAAAAAAAAGATTAAATAAATAAAGACTGGCAGTGAACCATCACAACTTCCTAAAGTAGTGTTAAAATTACAGAAAATATTTGCAATTTAATTTGTAATCAAATACTTACGTCAAATTGTCTAATATAAAACTCACTTATATGATTTTTTGATTTATCTGAGCGGGTTTACTTAGACAGTATAAATTTTGAAAAACTTCAGTTAATTCTGAAGTTAAGAAAATATAAACTTACAAAGACAAAAGCTGCATAACACTTTCTACATTGCTGTATCTAATGTTATAATTTGAAAAGATTTGTTTATATTAAATAGGCTCCTACTGCACCGAAAATAAAAATTCTTTCATTTACGGGTAGTTATACGCGAGTAACTTAGGCTACAACAGCTAATAATATATATAATTAACAATTAATGCGCGTGTGTGTATTGTTTGCTATTTGTACACAATTGTAATATTGAGCTCATTCAAACCACTGCTGAATTGCCGCCCACATCCGATGTAGAGCTAGATATGCCTGTGGTACGAGATAGCCGAGTTTACGGTACATATAAAAGGAATACAACCGAATCAATCAATGATACAAATAGAGACAGAGATGTCGACCATATGTATGGTCAAATATCTTTGGTAAGTTACCTATCAAAGTATCATAACTGTTGTAAAATGAATAGTTTCACATTGAGACACAACGTGGGCCAAGTGCGGATTACTGGGTATTAACGACCGCAGACAGTCGGTACCAAAGTCTTAACGTTCCTTTCTACCATTAAGTGTTGGTCGCCCATCCTAAGACCAGTCTTAGCGAATGTTGCTTAACTTACGCAACGCAGACCAAACCAATGCACTATTGAACTCCTGAATATTATTCTCAATGAAAGTGAACAGGTAGATAATTCATGGAGAATGACAAAGTTCTCGCAACAAAAGCACAACCGACACGAATATTAAGTATGGCCAAATGACTTTTTGTCATTATGTATGAAATAATCATTTGACATAAGATTTTTTATATGAAAAGGAAATGCAGAATAAAAATATTCTCAACATCATGTAGAACCGAACTGGGAAATGTATAAAACACCTATCATCGCAACCCAAACCAATGGTATAATCCGTTATAAAGTAACTCTACTTTTATAATGTAAAATAAAATTTGGAAAACATTATTCAGCAACATAGTAGAAAAAGGAACTAAATTTCTAATGTTATAAGAAATATGCAAAAGAACTACAATCAAGTAAGTATTAAAAAGATATTCATATTTTATCAAGTTGTGACTTCACCAGGATCGTCATAAAAACTGATGATAATTTAAATATATTTTACAGAAAAAAATCAGGATATACAAAAATATCAATGTAATGATTTATATGAGCCGTTTATTATGATCTACTTTTTCAGTTCAAATAAAGCAATCGTTTCGAAATATAATATGGTAATGTTTTGTTAGTCAGCATTGCAATTCTGATGGACGGCGGCGGACACTTTCACCAGTAGGTACCGGCTATTTATAACAAATTATTTCTACATAAGCAAAAAACTGTCCGTGCACAAAATGGTACAATAAATGACGAACGCCAGCTAGAGAAAAAATAACTAGGTCACAATGTTCACAAAAAATTTGATTCCATCATTGTGTACCCAAGCCGCCTAAATATAAGATAAAAGAAAAATATTTTACTCACATTGACTGTCTCCTCTACTCTGGATTGAGGACGAAGCTTCAGAGTGGTGTCAGGTTTTGGTGTGCTTACAGATCTAGAGGTGTACCGATTGGAGAGCCTCCTCGCGAAGTTACTCTTGAAGTCTTCGCACCTCATTATAGACTCTACTGGCCTGCTAAACTCCTCGCCCACCTGGACGGGGATGGTTTCGTGTGACGCCATGAACATTGTAATTTTAATATAGTAACATTATTCATAATAAAAACACAAGTTCATTGATCAGGTTTGATATCGACGATAGTACCGGCGGCTATAAACAAGCGCGCGCCAGCTACAGAACCCGACGACCGTTTAGATTCAAAGTGTAGATCGTACTGGCTCACCCACCTGTCGCACCTGCTATAGCACGCCAGCCGTCACGATTGCTGTTAATAAATTTAGAAATCATAAGGGTATATATTAACTTCTATTAAAAATAAAAACAAGATAATGCTTCTGATATCAACGATAGAGTTCAGATTATTTTTTTTATGTATTTCAGAAAAGTTCCTAATGCCATCTTGTGGCGATCAACATTCAACGTCGCAAACTCAAAGTGAATGTTCTATGTTTGTGCGCTTTTGTGGACGATGACTTTGTTATATAAAGTTATGTTGAGCTTCAAGCACTCGTAGACACGGTTTACGTGTAGATGTCGCTGTTATAGTATAAAATCTAGGGTTCACAGGCAAAATGTAAGCGACATTTTTAGAATTTTACAGGAAAGTGTAAGTAAAAGCTTTAATTTCATTAAAAAAAAATGATCGTGTCGTATCACAACACAAGCGATATTTTTTCGAAATAAAGGGTATTTACTTATGTAACATTAAATGTAGTCTAATATTTATTTTGCCTAAGCTGTATTAATAAATCATTATCGCTTAATATATAATGACTTCATAATCCCTATAATTAAATCAAACTGCATGAATTCCTTTAAATAATATATGTAGATTCAGGAAAAGATATATTATTTCAACATTTGGGTATTTTTGAACCGCCTGAAGTAATCTGAAGTAAATGTCGATGGAAACATTGTTTGCATTGAGTGAACGGTTTGGAGAATGTAAATTTTGCTAACCTTCTCCAATAAAAATATGTGATATAGCGTTCGATAAAAGGCGCCAAGCTACGATAAAATGTCAGATTAAGAAATAATAACCTTTTGTGGCAGTCAGTGTTCGGTCACAGTGCTATTTTTATTATTTTTATAATTTTGTTGCTTTTCTCTACTCTGAGCTCTTCTACAAAGAGAATTTGAACACTACGTTTTATTCTTCTAGATGACCTAAATGTTTAGATGGTGGGAAAGGAACAATGGATCTTAGAATAATTACTAACAATGGATGAATGGACCTCTATGCTTGGCGGGCGTCTGCAAATACGTGTCTCTATCACGGCCATGGATATTGATGGAACAATATATATACTTTTATTTAATACACATCCAGTAGCACAAACGTATATTAAAATGGTCATTAATTTAAAAGGAAATTACAGATTCAAGTTTACTTTACACCATTAAAACGTGAAGTCGTAAACGTTAATGCACCTAATGCTATGAAGTTTCTTTTAATTATACAATATTCTCTATGCTATATCTGACAGAACGATGACAAGAAGTGATAGATAGTTAAAGCTTTTTTTGAAATAAATTATTTTTTAATCTTTGAATCTTTGTTAAAAAAAATTGCAAATGATTCTTAAAAATTTTAAACTTATTGGATTGGCAACAAGTCTCCGATAAAATGGAGCAAGATAAAAAAACAGGTGATCCATACTTAATATCGTATTTCTAATGATTTAACTAAAACCTACTGATCAAATGTTAAAAGTTGTCCCACCAATCTCATATTATGACTGACTATCTGTTATATTATAAATGATGTCCTTTATATATTTTAAAATCTCAGAGGAAATATTATTTCAATCTTTTTTTATTATAAAAAGCTTTGCGCATGTTCCTGTTTATTTAACTATAAGTAGTCTTGTAGAACTTTGATTTTTTTTATACGGTTAAGATAGTATAGTATTTCATCTTAAGATATCTTAAGATGAAACAAAATTCCTTAGAATAGAAATAAATATAATCGTATCAAAGAAAAAATCATTAGAATTAATTCATCGGTAGGTGATTTTGTGTCCAATATACATGAACTTTATAGCCTTTTTCTAGGAAAGTTAGAAAAGTCATGGTTAAAGTCCGTTTTCAGAATAAGACAAATAGCTTAAATCAGTTCAGCCAATAATAATAAATAAAGGAATTTAAATTAATCACTTTAATAAGGACATGAATTACTCTATTCTGAGAGAAAATCATATAAAGTTATCATATTATTTTACCCTATTATTTATATTGTTTAACAAGGAATATCTTTTTAAAATAAAGCATTATTTAAACATTTTAGGTATCATATCTTCCTATTAATTACTTACTAATGATTTCCTTTACAGACACCTTCTCGTTATTTTTGCCTCCTCCAGTTTTATTGACTATAAAAATATTAAGATTATTGAAAAGATGCACAGTTTAGTTTAATAAAAGTAAGTTATTGAATTCTGATCAATTTTGTATTGATAATATTTGAAGTAAATTGCTTATCGGCTGTTTGGGTTGATTGTCTGAACCAACAATTAATGTAATAAAGGAACCCCGTTAGACGACCCGATGTTTATCTGAATGCTTAATAATCCACAGATCGATCTTTATTATATCAGTTATCTCGAGTATAGACCGTTCAAACATGAAGACTGTTTAAATCGGGCCTGGTGGTAAGTCTGGTATTCAAGTTTAACTAAATGTTCAATTAAACGGAAAATGTAATGATTTTACTAATTGACATAATCATGTAAATTACATAATATGTATGATCATGTTAATTAGTTGAATCATTAAATTTTCCATTTATTATATCACCTAATCCCTAGACTTCAAGAAACTCCATTCAAGGCCTCGAAGTCCATCTCACATAGAATGCTGATGCAATCTAATTGTCTAAATAAATATAGTGACTGTGATTATTTATAAATTTTTAGTGTAATTCAATGTAAATCAGGTAATATCAATTCCATACAATAATTATATACAAATTATTATTATTTGGCCCTATTGTATTTAATAATCTAGTTAGAATACCAATATTGTTATTTTCTATACTTTTAGAACCTTCGTTGTTGAGTAATTTAAACGCCGCATCGGTCGATTCAAAGTCGTCGCCGTTCTGGATTCGATATCATTAATATGTGGAAATACCAGAGATAGAGATACAATTCCATATTTTTCAAATAAATAGTACAGTTGAACGGTAATTTTAAGCGCCAAGTTCGTAAATGAAGTAATTTTCATTAATGAACTTGGCGCTATATCATTATCATTCAGCAACATTATCAACAGCCTTTTAATGCTTACAACTTTTGGTGAAAAGAAATAAATTATATTATTATTATTATCCCCATTGCTGAGGTTCAAGCCTTCCCTATGGAAGGAATCCGATCAAATCCAAAAAGAAGGCCATCACGCGGGCCCAGAGTGAATTGATGGGTGTTAACGACTGCCGGTGATGACCAACGGCTTAACGTGCCTTTCGAAGCACGAAAGAGCTCGACATAATACATTTGTGGTCACCCATCCTATAACCGGCCATTGTGAAAGTTGCTTAACAACCAACCCAATAAAACGAGTTCATTGAATATAGGATGAGGTTGTATTTATAATAGTCATTATTTAACAGTAACAAGGTAGTTCAAGATGGACACTCCGTCGTCATCCATATGCAGTCAGTTCGATCTGGTTGAGATAGTGTTCATATGCGTCGCGTTCACCTTCCTGCTGATCCTCCTTACACAGGCCTGCCGCATTATGAACTCTGGGTTTTTTAATATAACACTTTAACGCTAATTTTGGGTGAGTATACATATACATGTAAGTATTTAGTTAAAGAAGAACTATTTTTTCGCACAAACTATCTGTGCACAAAAAATATACCATGAACTAGTTTTTTATTTTATACAAGATCAAAAGTCAACTCAATATCTCCACCCGTATGGGTCTTGACAGACGGACACCAAACTTATAGGGATTCTGTTTCTTTTTCCTTTTGAGGCACAAAACCCTAAAAAACCCAACAAACATAGTTTTCCCTAGAGTAGTATTGCAGTATGAATTAGGTACTTTTTGTAGCGTTTGTATGTTTATGCCGTAAACAAGCTTATAATGGATTTCAGTACAAACTGTAAACACAATAATTACATTATATCATAAAAACATATTATCAAATAAACGAATAGTGAACAAAGAGTGAAAGTACTATCTGCCATCGGCACGGTCGCGCGCACGCGGAGACCTAGTTTCATCACACCTATGTACTGTTTAATTAAAGTACAATTTAAAGTAGGCTCGATAACCCCCAAATACCCCATCATAATTGAATAAAGGTAAAATATAGTCATTTCATTTCATTGATTAAAAATTTTGAATTTATTAAAAAAGGGTTAGTTAAGGAATCCTAATGTAAAAATGTATTATTTCTTATGAAATTCAGAAACTCTTTAGGTTACTACCAAATGGCAATCCGCAATCAATATTGAGTTTAATTATTAACATATAGAGGCTACAATTTCGTTTGAAGAAATTACCCCTATATTGTACTCTGACATGTTGTTTGTAGAAATACAGAGTTACTTTTATTACAAGTTTATCTTGACCAAATAGATAGGCTCTATATTACATTTTGAGCAATTGTTTCAGCTGGTGTTCGCAAGAAAATCCATGTAATTTCAAAAATATAAGCTAAAAATGGTATCTAAAAAATCGTAAGTACAATACGTTACACAATAGAATAGTTATTAAGTAGCAAAATGTATATATTATTACGTAAAGCAAAACATTCTACAAAAATTGCGCGTACTTAAATAATAAAATTTAACACATTTAAAATGAATACGGAACGTAGTTTAATCATGGAGATGCTTAATAGGCACGCTAGAGTAGAAATCAAAATTCTAAAACTATATTGTTTAGTAGGAAGTACTTTCCCATAGCTGGGAAATCACTAAACAGACTTTTCCATCGATCAAAATCAGGAATGGAATAGCGACAGACACCAAAAAATGTGTGCCCCAGTGTAGGGACACTATGACGTACTGGCTGGGAGGGCCCAGCCAGTATGACGAATAATTTCCAGAGCGATATTAGGTAAGGATCGCATGGTAAAGTGTGATGAAGAAGAGCGAAAAGAGAAAAATTGTATGAGATAAACTGGAGAAGAGAGTAGAAAAAATGTGGAATAGAGAACCAGCGAGTAGGGCGCTAATAGAGTTTTGAACGGAAGTTTAAGA